ATCAGCATCTCTCTTTCTCTCCTTTTTCCAGAACTTCCGAGACCTCTGGCTCACCTTTGCCGGCTGCAAGTTCGAAAGGCCATCGGGAAATACCGTATAAAACTCCTGGATACGTTGCCGCTCCCGGGCAGGCTGATTCGGTACCTGAAATATGACTACAGCCAGTAGCCAGTGCAGGAGTGACTCCTCAGACTGTTTCGCTAAGTCTCAGGACAGTGGTGTCCCCAAATCCAAGGGGACCTGGTGACAGATGAGGCTGTGGGCGGTCTCCCTCTCTGCTGGGGCAGCCACCGTGACCTCGCCAGGTCTCTGGGCCGGAGCTTTGCCCAGAGCAGAGGACAGAATGTGTCAAGCAGGAGAAAAACCGTGTTTGTTTTCAAACTGAGTAGATCCAGACCTTCTCTGCCATCGGGATTGGCAGAAACCTCCATTCCTGGGGCCGGGAGAGGGGGGCAGGGCAGAACTTGGGGTGGTCTGGGGAAGGCGCGGCCAGCAGAGAAGCTGCAGCTGCAGAACTTTCAGGAATGTCCGCCTTTCCTGGACGACCTCACTGCAGAGCTGTCCCCATGCCCCATCCCCTTCGCTCTGTGAAACTCTCCACTTGACTTCTGAGCCTTCTCCCGAAGGTGTGGCTGGGTGGGGGGTGGGAGACCCTCGGTCCCAGAGGGCTTCCTCCGGTACAGTAAATGTTGCACAGATGACACCTTGCCCAGTGAAGTCCCTCTCACCAGACCTTCCCCAGGGCCTGAAGTCCTCAGCCCTGCACTTGGCGGGGGTGGGGCAAGGGCTGGGGACAGGGCACACAGACCCCTGAGCGTGTCACCTTGGTTTGGGCCTCTCAAAGACCCAAGAGAGTGTGTCCTTCAATCACTGGAAGAGACCTGAGAGCGCGAGGGGAGGGGGCAGGTTTCTGCCCTGTGATGGGGTAGCTTTTCTCTCCGCCTTCAGTCACCATGGAAACAGGAGCTTCACCACAGGCAGGGTCTCGGTGCCTACAAGTCCCCCGATACCCGGGATGTCTTACACACACGTGTTCCCTGGTGCTCCGTCTTCCTGTTCTGCTCACCCCTGTTTTGCTACAAAAGTTGAGATACTAGGGGAAACAAAAATCTGAATACTGGCTACTCTGAATGAAGGTGCTGGAGTCATGGCTGTTGTCAACCCTGGCGAAGGCACCAGACTTAAGAGGCGTGAAGCCCTGTCCCCTCCGTTGCCTCCTTCGGTCCCCATGTGCCTCTGTGGTCGAGCCGGGCGGGAGCTGCCAACCGTTTTCGGGTGGCACAGGTGAGAGAGCTGAGGTTTGGCACAGTCATAGCCCTTTCTCCTGGTCTAAGTCCCATGCGCTGAGACCACTGGCACACCCTGTTTCCACTGAAGCTGCAGTGGTCTCTTCAAAAGTGTGGTTAAAGCCAGTGGTGCGTGGGCCACTCTGCAGGCCACCAGAGCAGGTCACCTCGCTCAGAGCATGCCCCGGGTCGCGCCCCAGGATCTGGAAGAGTCTTATGCAAGGTCAAACGCAGTTTCTGGCCTTTGGAAAGTGAGCGTCTGGGCCGGTGGGGGAGCACTGATTCCAGGCTCGCTCTCTGAGGCCCCGGGTTCCTCATCGTTGTGGCCCCTGGTGGCCTTGCTGGCTCTGACACACTGGGTTTCCATGGGACCAGTAAGTCCCAGTGTCTGCCTGAAGAGGAAAAGTCCACCAAGCAGCACTTTCCGACCGTGGGTCAGAGGGGACTCAGCCATGCCTTGCCCACTCCCTCTGGCTACAGATGGGAAAACAGGCCCAGAGAGGGAAGGGACTTGCTTGGACATACACAGCAAGTCCCCGGGGTGCCAGCCCAACAGTGCTTGCCCAGGGGTCTATTCTACCTTGCTGCAGAGATCATGAAGAAATCCCAAAGGAAACCTGTGTCCTTCGACTGGGGATGTTCAACTGGGAACCGGCAGGAGAGGGGCCCAGGGGAAGTGGCCAAGGAGGGTTCAGTGCATCGTCAGGGAAAACCCTGACTTAAAAACGCCTTTGCTGACCTGGCAGCCAGAGGGACGGACTTTAATCTCAGATAGGGAGTGGCAGTCAGTGATGGGACAGAGCAGAGAGATGTTGTTCGGTGCATCTGGGGTGGGGCTGGGTATCAAGCGAACTCTTAAACTACAGCATTTCTCAGGTCACCTTATGTCCTAGAGAGTCCCAACAGGCAGTGACCACAGGAACTGGGCAGGTGGGGATGCTGGTCTGAGGGAGGCGCCCTCTGGAGGAGGTGAGGCTGAGGCGGGAGGTGGGAGATGTAGGGAAGGAGGCCTCGGTCACTGCATTCAGCATCAGCACCATTTATTTGTGGGATGTGGGGCCTGGGATGCACCTGTGCTGCATTAGAATATTGATGTATGTCCGTGCCAGTTGGTCACAGCTGCTGATCAGGGCCCCTCCCCACCAAGAGCCTCGCCCAGCCTTGACCTTCTCAGGTCCCTGCCCCCACCTCCCCACCACCTAGCCACTCAAGGGTTAATGCCTGGCTGCTCCCAGGGGCCGGTTCTGACTGGTCGGTGCTCAGGCCATGCGGGTTGTCACATTTTTGACCATCACTTCTGTCAGGAGGACTTGACAGCCTTTACCCTCTGCAGAAGCCACCCTCTCATCCCCCGCCCCCCGCCAACCCCCATGCTCACCCAGCCTCCGGGAGGATTTCAGCCTCAGAGGTGTCTGCGCAGCATCACCAAACCCTTAAGATCCTGAAAGAGGTTCCGTTTCGTGAGCAGGAGCACGTTTGACCTGGTGCTGGGGATTGGAGGCTGGAGCGGTGGGTGAGGTCCTGGCTTCACTCTGAACCGACACCAGTCACTTTGTGGTCAGGGGACCATCTGCTGCTCTACTGTGGCGGATTTTTTTTTCAATACTAAAGCTTTCTTGGATGTGTTTTCCCCCAACTTACTTGTTTCCACGCGGGGAATCATGGTGCCGTGAGCTTCTGTTGAGCCGCATCAGTGAAGGTTTCTGCTTCCAGACGAAGCCTCCCTGCTTTTGCGTTTAAGGCTTTGCCAGGTCTCCCCTGGGAAAAGCTGAGCCCAAGAAGGCAGCACCCCGAAAAAACACGCCTCGCGGAGCTCAGCTCCTTCTCCAGGGAGGGCAGGTGGTTGGATGGCCCAGGCGCCCGTTCCCATGGGCTGCCCTGTCCATAACCGTCATTGAAATATTGGAGTGGCAGGACCTCCAGACACCACCAGATAATTAGAGGTGACTCCCGGTCGGTGCAGCTTTTCGTCACTTGTGTGGTACTAGAGTGCCAGGCGCTCACGTCATTCCCACAACTACCCACGGGGCAGGTCTATTTTCAATCACGTTTTTCAGATGAGGAAATTTCGGCACAGAGAGATCAAGTAACTTGCTCAAGATCACACAGCTGGTAGAGGGCAGGGCCTGGATTAGAGCTTTTAACTCCCTGCTGTATAGTGTGGAGGGGCTGAGCCCCATCAGAATGGATCCAGAAGGGCCTTGGTGATGATGTTCAGGGTTTGAAGGGAGAGAAGGGCACACACCTCCTCCTGGTCCCCTCCCTGCTCATTAAGACTAGAGCAGCCTGAGGCAGGGGTCCCGGCTGAGGACTCCCTATCCCACATGCTGCATAATTACTCAGAACAACTCTGGCTGTGTCAAGCGGCCTTCGTGGCTCTGAAGTCCTCCAAGACCGTCAGACATAAACCACCAGAAACTCACCAGCTTCCCAGAGAGCGAGTGCCCCTCCATGTGGACGCCCCACTCCAGAGAACGCCTGGAGTAAAAACGGGCAGGGTGGGAAAGGCCCCTAGCAGTTGCTGATCCTGGAGCCTTGTGTTAGGAAGGATTCTGAGGCCATACCTGGGCCCTAAAGGAGAGTCTGTGACCAGGAGATGATACCTGCCTTGGGTGCAGAAGTGGAAGGTGCATCTGTCTCTAACCTTGACCTAGTCCCCTACTCTACAGAGGAGGAAACTGAGGCACGGGGGGCATTAACTTGCTCAACATCATGCTTCTGACCAGGGTACCATAGTCCCCAGCCAGGGCTGTGCCTACACCGGTCTCAGCTGTGAGAACTGCGCTTTGATGGCGTGAGTGGCTCAGCACCCCTGACAGGCACGCGCGCTCTCAGCCATGCAGCCACATCGCAGGCAGCGGAGCAGATCCTGGGCCAGGTTGCAGGTGGAGGCCCCTCCAGCGGCTTTGCTAGTTGGGCACTATCAGGGCAAAACCCAGGACCTCTCCCTGCCTCCAGTGCCCGCTCTGTGCACTGTCGCAGGCAGAGGCCTTCATCTTCCCTTGACGGGGCGCCTAGTGTATGCCAGGCGCTGTACCAGGCCCAGGAAGAGAGCCAGCAGTGGGTAACCCAGGAACCTGAATTAGCTAGGATTACTGCTCCTCCCCCTTTCTTTTTTTGGCCAGGGATATAGAAACAAATACCGTGTTTAAAAGAGAAATAATTTGGTCCAACGACCTGTTATTTTGTCCAGAAGGGGCTCAGCTCCTGTTTGACCTGATTTTCCCTCTGACCAGGGTCAGGCGTGCCCACCTTGGCACAGCCTCTGCTCTGAGGCCATAATTGGAGTGGAAGGCACCACAGAGGGGACCATTCTCATTCCACCCCTCATCCTGCAGGTGGGGCAAGGAGGCTCCTAGAGGAAAGGTCCAGTCCCATGTCCCAGGGCAGAGCCAGAATTGCAGCTCCACCTCCCCTGGTGCCAGCCTCCCTGTTCTCCAGAGCAGTTTGGACTCTCTGGGGATCCAGGCCTCCCCCAGCCTCTGCCCTCTGACACGGGGAACAAGAGCATCCTTCCCTGGCGGCTTACCCTCACTCTCCTTCCTTTGAATTGAGCTGTTGGCCCCCAGTGCCCATTCCCAGACAGCTCAGAGGTCGGTGAGCCACTCCTGGTCTCCCCCACAGCCAGTGCCCTCCATAAGCAGCCCTCCGCCTGGGCACAACCAGCATTTCTTAGGCCTGGGACCATTCAACTTCATGACACCCAAGATGTGGAAACTGCAAAAGAAATATCTTTATTCTTTTAACCTTTATATTTACAAAGAACAAAACAGAACTGAGATTGGCTTACACAGTGGGTGGCAGATGAACAGATGAGGAACTCTGGCTTCTGGGGTGGCTGGTAGCAAAACCCTATGGCCCGAGGTCTGCGCAGGGATGGCGGGATGATCTGTCAGGTCCTGGCCTGGCTGGGGAGGGGCCAGCCGCGCCCGTCCCGCAGCTCCCAAGGCTGCAAGGGCTGACCCGGAGACTGCCTGAGAAGCCCCTGCCCCAGTCCCGCCCTCCACCTCCCACATACACACAAAGGGAGGCTTCCCAAGAGGCCACACCACCGCCCAGCCCACTCCACACAAGGAGAGCTCCCGGGGCCCCCAACACGCCTGCAGGCCGGAGGTGGGAGCCAAGGCCCTCCTAGCCCGGCTAGAGGTAGCCAAAGACGTTAAAGATGGGTGGGGGCATGGCTGGCTTGGTGGGGATAGGCTTCAGAACCACGGGTCTGTACACCTTCTGCCCTGGGCTGTCCACATCCTTGCAGAAGTGGGCCAGCTCCCCCGGGGAAGCCGGGCTTTTCCTCCACAGGCCCAGGCTGGGGACCGAGCTCTGAGGCAAGGCGGCTGGAGGGCCCGGGTAGATGGGCTGTCCGTGGTACTGGAGGGGGCAGTAGTTCCAGGCATTAACACGGCCCACCAGGGTGACCCCAGGCATCTTGAGTGGCTCCTTTTCAGCGGGTGCCCTTGGGGACGTGGGCACTGGGGCCAACTCGGGCCCCATGGGCTCCAAGCCCTTGCAGGGTTTCTTACCCTCATAGGGAGCTCCCTCCCTGGGGCCCAGTCCCCCCTCCAGCCCCAGGGGGTAGCTGTGGGTGGGCCGTGGCTCTTCCCAGAAGGAAGCGGGCAGCTGTCTTTTCCTCATGGGCACCTGGCCAGGCCTGGCAGCTTCTGGATTCTGCCCCTGGAGGGTCTGCTCCTTAGAGAGACATTCTTCCCTGTAGGGGTTCCCCAGAGCCTTCTCCTTGCAGCCCCCACCCCCGCCGGGGCTGGAATCCTGGCCAGAATCAAGGGGCAGCCTCCCGGGCCGGTCCTCGGGCCCCCTTCTCAGGTGAGGCTCGGCCCCTCTGCCGGGGAGGCCCCGCGGGAGCCGGGAGTACTTCTGGGAGAAGCGTTTGAGCTGCTTCTGCAGGTACTTGCGGTGGTCCACGGAGCGGCGGCAGGGCGCGGACTTGTCCAGGGCCGCCTTGATGTCACTGGACGCCAGGTTCACAAAGTTCAGCAGCATCTTCACGTCACTGTCGGACGCCATCGCCAGGGGACCACTGCACGGGGCTTTCCATGAAGAGAGTAGGTTCTGCAGGGTCTGGCTGCTCCAGAGAAGGGCACAGAGCGGACCTGGGGAGACACACAGGCCGTTGAAGTCTCTTCGAGAAGCCTCACCCAGCCGTCCCCAAAGGCCACATGGCTGCAGACGGTGGCCCCAGCCCCAGACCCCTCAGCCCTAAACAGAGTCCTGGGTAGTGGGATTCCCATCCAAGCCGCTAAGCATTTCCTGAGTGTCTGTGATGGGACAGCCGCCAATAGAACCTCCTTTAGTTTTCTTGGGTCTGATGCCCTCCACTTGCAGCTGAAGCTCAGAGAGGTCACGCGACTTGCCCAAGGTGACCCAGCTACAAGTGTCATTGCTGGGGCTGGCGCGCAAGTCCCCGCGCTCCCAGCCCACCCGTCTCCAGCACGCCACGCTGCTAACGTGCGCAGCTTGCCAGCAAGGTTTTTATTTTCTGAGCTGAAGTGACTGCTCCACTTTCAAGCAAGGCCAAGCCCCCTCTCTCCCTGGTGGTGCCCTCCTCCTCCACCCCCGCCCCCAGCCCTGCTAGCATTACCCCCCTCCTCGGTCCCCACGCTCCACCCCCAGCTCTCACGCAGGACAGGCAGGACCCCTGTCTGGCACTCAAGCCCAGGCCTGCCTGGCGGGCTGATCTCAGGCTGTGGGCAGCAGGGACTCCCCTGTAGAAGCATCTGCAGCAATTTCATGCCTCCTCCGCCACCACTCGCAGCACCTCGCCCCTCCCCCAGGCTCCAGCCTGCCCCACACCCCCACCCATCGGGCTGAGCCGCTCAGGCCTCCACACTGACCGAGGGTGCGGGCCCCGGGCCCCGGGCCCCACCAACGTGGCCCGGCAGGTTCCCTGCCGCAGACCTGGGCCAGGCCCGGCGCGGCCGGCGAGCTCCGTGCGTCTGGCTGGAAGCGGTGGTGCAGCCCTCGAGTGGGCTGAATGGAGACTGAGTCCCCGGAGCTGGGGGGCCCCTCAGGCCAATCAGGAGCGCCTCTCCAGATACAAAGCATCCCAATCAGGCGGCAGCGCCCCGTTCCCACATTCTTTGCCGTCACAAATTGTCACCATGGGGACCATCACAAAAAAGACAGCTCCCAAATGCAATCATTTCCCGGTAAATTTCTACCCTTCAGCCCCACTCTCTCCCTCAGCCTCCACGCCCCTCCGCCCCTTGACCTCAGTTCCCTGGTTTCTGGAGGGGGCAGTGTGTATGCGTGTGTGCATGTGTGTGTGTGTCTGTGTGTGTGTGTGTGTGTGTGTGTGTGTGTATTTAAAAAGTCCAGGATTGAGGAGGGGCTGGGCCCAGAAGAGATGGGCTTGCAAACCTCCCCCAAAGACGCCAGGCCTACAGCTGCCATGCTCCAGTGCAGACAGACAATCGGACGGGGTAAGCTGGGGCGGGCTGCTTTCCCCGCTGTCCTTGAGTGTTGAGTGGTGCTCTCCTCTCCCTCTCTGTCTCCCCATTCCCCCGTCCCGGGGCACCGGGCCCTGGTGGGCCTGTGGGGGCGGGCGGCACACTGATGTCGGGAGAGGTGGAGGAGGAAGGACTCTAACGAGGTGCCGGCATATCCATGGGAAGGGAGCCGGAGCTCTCAGGAATCTTGTCTTTATGTTTGCTTCCTCAATTGAGCTGCACAAAGCCTGAATTGCCCATTCAGCACGGCCGGACAAAAGGTTGGCGGTGCACGGTCCCCTTGCATTTGTAGTCAAACAGTTAGGGACTTAAATCGAGTCGTCATGATGGAGAAAGAGGTGGACAAAGCCCATAGAATTGCCATCAGCAAACATTTTCCTGTGTCATATTAGCCAGTCTCCATGGCTCCCCCTGGCCTGGGGACAATGGCACAAGTTTGCACACTTGGCTACTGTCACCGTGCCAACGCCGGCAGGGCCGCAAGCAGGGCCGCTCTGAGCGAGCAAGGGAGCCCCGAGCAGGCCGTTGGCCCTGCCCACCGACTGGCCAGAGGAAAGGTGAGGCCGCGGGCGGAGGGCGGCTGCCTGGGAAATGCTGATGGGCGAGGCCCCTGTGCCAGCCAGCGCAGGGGGCCCCTCTGCCTCCAGCCTTTCTCCTCACGCTCTGCCTCTTCTTTGCCCTCCTCTTCTCCTTCTCCTTCCTAGCTGTCTCCCCTTTCCTCTGCCACCTTTTCCTCCTGTCCCCCCGTCGGTCAAATGGCTGGTGGTCTATTCACCAACCCACATCTTTGCACCACAACCTGAAACGCCAAGGACTCCTCTCTGAGGTCTCGCTGCCCAAATGGGAGCACTGGCTGGGCAGGCGGCCTCACCCAGGAGTGACGGTCCCACCCCCTCCTGCTGGCCAATAGGCAGCTGCTGCCGGCACAAGGCACCTGCCCACAGTGGCCTGGCTCCAAGCCACCTCCCCCCCGGCCTGAGGGTCCCTACAGGCCAAATGAAGGGTTTGGAGGAGATGGCCCAGCACGGACCAGCTGTGACTCAATTTAGGCATTTAGGAGAAGGTGCAGTGTTCTCCGTGCCCCCTTCCACTGCGGAGGGGGTCGGGGAAGTGTGGCCTGAGATGGAGGTGACCTTGGCCTGGAGCATCCTGGATCATTGGCCATCACATGGCCTGGAGGGTGGCCCCTATCTGCAGTAGCCTTTGCATAAATGAGAGCTAAACCGTCATCATTTTAAACCCATGAGATTTGGGGGTTATTTGTTTCTACCGCATAACCCAGCACACCCTAACTGGTACAGGCAGGAAACGCCCTTTCTGCTTCAACCACCCTGCACACACAGCTGGAGAAAATGCCCAAGGTCACCAGGTTAGGCTCCTGCACCACTCCCGTCACGGCTTCCTGCTGCCTCCTGCCTGGGGCCAGGGTGCACAGCCGCAGGTGGGTTCGAATCCCTCCCTAACCCGGCGCCGACCCACTTCCCGCCTTCTCCATTATTCTCTGCCAGGAGACTGGCCCAAACCAACCTGGCTCCGTTTCCACCCTGGCCTCCCGCAGGCCATGTCTGCTTGCGCTGGCCCCTCTCTCTGGGACACCCTCTCCTTTCTAAGAGCGTCGAGACATTCTTGAGCCACTCCGCCTGGATCTCAGCTTCCTCTGAGGTTCCACGGCACCTGAAGTCATTTCAGCCCGTCCTGGCATTGCCTGCTTATGACGCCATCCTCCAGCTTCTCAGCCAATAATGACCCCCAACAGGTGGGCGAGCTCCGTGGGGGTCGAATCCGTATCTTAAAACATCATCCATAGCTCTTACCATGGGCTGTTCTTCCCATGTGTTCCTCCCACTTTTTGAGGAAAGAAGAAAGAAAAGAGGAAGAGAGGAAGAAAGGGAAGCGCACAGTGGAAGGAATAAGACTGATGCCTGTTGGACACCTGACATGTGCCAGGAGCCGCGCTCGGTGATCCCGTGACAGCTCTGTGAGGGGGTCACGGCTGCGTTTACAGATGAGGCCCGGGAGGGCACGTTCTCTCCCCCAGCCTCGCAGCTAATGCCTGGCAGAACTTGAACTTGGAGCTGGGCCTGTCTGCGTGCGGCCCGTGTGGGTCCCACCACCCACATTGCTTCCGTGAGCTCCGGCCGGGTGGAGGACCTCCCAGACCAGCTTCTCTACAGAAATCTGGCTTCAGCTCTGCAGTCCCTCCGTCAGGACAGGACTCCAGCTTCCGGCTCAGGAACACAGGAGCTGAAGCTGTGGGAGAGCGGTCGAGGGAGAGGAGGCAGCTGTGGCTTGAAGGACTGGGACCTGGGAACCGGACCAGGGCCCCATGCTGACCTGGCCACACCCCAGCCTCAAGCCTGGCCTCTGGGGGCTGCCTTTGACCCTTGCTGGGGAAGGCTCCTGCATGTTTTTCTGATATGCTGTATAGACAGGTGGAGAAACATCACCAATAAGAATCATGCCTCACTCTAGAGAGCTCTGTCACCGTCGTTCTCTCAGGTGGTCCTGCATCTGGGCAGGGAGGGAATTGTTTTCCTTGTTTACAGTTAGTGATACACTCAAAGACAAGCCTCAAACCTCTGATTTTTTGGGCCCAACTCAGGGCTGCTCAGCCAACTCTCTCCTCTCGGCATTCTTCAAGGCCCAGCTCAAACACCCAGGGAGACTTCCACCAACTCCCAGCATTGTGTATGACACCCTCTCCCATCCCTATGCTTATAGATTCAAAGATGAAGTCTAACCTCCTTAGCTTCACACAGAAGGCCCTTTGTAATCTGACCCCTACAGTCGCTTCTCACTAAATGTTTCATGAATTAAATACTTTGCCCATTCCACTGAATACAATTCTTCCCGTGGACTGGAAACAGCTGCTTCCTGTCTTGTTGTTTTGTTTGTTGTTTGTCCCACCCACCCAGCTCCAGGTGCAGGAGCAGCATGAGAGCAGAGAACTCATCTGCTGGTTCTCCTCTGCATCTCCAGTGACGAGAACGGCCTTGGCACAGCACAGGCCTCCATGAGGGACCCTTGTGGTTGCGATGGTTGTACCTGATGCTGAAGTGTCTGTACTCCTTCAGGACTTCCTGCCTCGAAAGCAGGAAGCACCGTTTCACAATTGCACCCCCCTGCGCCAGAGCAGGGGTTCTAAGAAGCTCTGGTAAGGGCAAGGGAGCTGTGTTGACCTGAACTTGAGGGTCCCTTCCCAACCTTCTCCCGTCGCTGCCAGGGATCTCCAACACTCCAGCCGTGCTCAGCCGACCTCAGGTCCATTCACACCATTCAGCGTCAGGGGCTCCCACCTTCCTGTCACCTCTGTTCAGCACCTGCCATGTGCCGGGGACCAGAGCGGGCGGAGCCGGGCTTCCTGGGCTTGCTCCACTGTTCCCAAGGCAACTTGTCGGAGGGGCGATCGACTTCGTCTTGATAACGAAACAGCCGTCTTCTGCCCACCCCTCAGTGAGGGAGAATGACATCCTACCTTGCTTTAATTTCCCAAAAAACCACGCGGAGCCACTCATCCAGCATCTCTGGATGTCATCTGACATAACCCACTTCTAGGATTTAGGCAACACAGGCGCAGGCTGAAACTGACAGCGAGAGGAGGCTGTGGACAATGCCAGGCACAGGCCAAGCCGGAGGGGACCCGGGGAGGTCATCCGGGGTGGTGGGCTTTCAAGTCGCTTTTATGCAGAGAAGCCCATTCAAAAAATATTATGTGGGGGTCGGCCCCGTGGCTTAGCAGTTAAGTGCGCATGCTCCACTACTGGCGGCCTGGGTTCGGATCCTGGGCGCGCACCGACGCACCACTTCTCCGGCCACGCTGAGGCCGCGTCCCACATACAGCAACTAGAAGGATGTGCAACTATGACATACAACTATCTACTGGGGCTTTGGGAGAAAAAAAAAAAAGGAGAAGGATTGGCAATAAATGTTAGCTCAGAGCCAGTCTTCCTCAGCAAAAAGAGGAGGATTAGCACAGATGTTAGCTCAGGGCTGATCTTTCTCACAAAAAAAAATATACATATACTATGTGGGAGTCCAATATGTAAAGAAGTGACAGCAAGGTGCTGTGAGTATAGATTTGTTTTATACACGCAAATGCACACTTTCCACTTATATTGCAAACAATGGATTAGAACAATGAGGCTGTTTTGATGACAGAGAACTTTGAAATTAGGCGTGATGGGTTATGGTCTGACATCAGCCATACTTTGTTTTGGCTGCAGAATATTTAGAAAATCTTGATTTAGAGAAAGAAGCAGCTGAAATGGTAATTTTTTTTAGAGCCTATCTTACAATCTCAGGACAGTTATCAAATGAAAAGGAATTCCCTGAGAATCTTTCTATCTAGTTCTCAGAGGAGTTAACCAGTGAGCTGCCCAGGTTAACCAGTGGGCAGCTTAGGGTGTCAATTTGTGAGTTAAAAAGCATTAGAGGGCCGGCCCTGTGGCTTGGTGGTTAAGTGCGCGCGCTGCGATGCTGGCAGCCCGGGTTCGGATCCCGGGTGCGCATCGAGGCACCGCTTCTCCGTTCATCCTGAGGCCGAGTCCCACGTGCAGCAACTGGAAGGATGTGCAGCTACGGCACGCAACTATCCACTGGGGCTTTGGGGGGAAAAAATAAAAATAAATAAAATCTTTAAAAAGCATTAGAGTGTGTGTTTGTTGTTTGGGACAGTTTTTAGAATGTAATATTTTAAATTGTCAAAAATAAAATTTAAAGGAAATTTTACATTTCCACACTTCTGTA